TTATCATCTCCCGAGCCACTAATCGACTCGCCTTCAAAAGAAAGCAGGGCCGGAGCCTCCTCTTCTAGGGTCTTCACCCTCTCGATCTCGGCGGATAAATCGATGCCCCCCGCATATATATCCTCGAGATCCTGCCTCCGAGATTCTAACCGGGCATGCTTCACGGCTCGGGTCAACTGCCGCTCGGCCTCCCCGGATACCTTCCTGGCCTGAGCATTTGCAGTAGCAGCATCCTCTTTATACGAAGATACGAATGCCTCGGCTTCAGCCCTAACCTCGGATAGCGCAACAACCAACTCAGTATGAAGATCCTTATACTTATTACTCTCCGCCCTCGCATCATCAAGTTGATATCCGACTGAGACCACCTCCCCCTGGAGGGTATCTTTGTCAGAGACTATCTCACTCAGGTGCCGTTTGAGTTCGAGAGTTTTAGAGTCTCTGGCTTGGAGTTCCTGCCTCATTAGGACATTTTTCTTCTCAAGCTGTAAAGATCGGCCCGAAGGTGTTAAAGCACTAATGTCAGATAAGCGTGTAGACAAAAACAAACGGGAACTATATAACCTGCTCAATAAGATGAGTCCTTTCTCGCGACGCCGCCTCCAAACAATCCCGAAGGCCACGGAGTTCCTCCTCCCTCTTGGTAGAAAGAGCTCTAAGCTCATCAGCTTTGAGGTAAGCTTCCTGTGCTCACCCTCATAACGAGTTAGCTCGGTTTGAAACCTGGCAAAGGTCTGATTATAAAGCACCTTGGCCTGGAACCATGAAAGAAACAAAGTTAGCAAGACGAAGATCGAGGCACCGAGCAGAATTTACGAAAAATTACCTCCTCACAGATCCTGTCGATTTGGCTGAAAATACGCGAGGCATCAAGCTCGGGCTTTTCCTCAGGCGCAGCAAAAAGTCTTTCAAACACATTTTTATCTCTGACGGGCGCCCCCACGTCGAAAGACTCTTTATTTTGGGCATCCTGCATCTCCCTCGGAGGAAAAGTCGATCCCGGAGGGGAATCGCTCACTTCAATAACACCGACTGGATCAATCGGGGCCGTCTCTTATTTCTGGAGAGCTTTAGAACTAGGCTCCCCCAGACCGCCTACCGAATGCACCTCAGCTCGAGGAAAATTTTGGCCGTCAATCGGCTCGGGGATATCACCCGATACACCCTCGAAGGCCTCTTCAGCCCGAGGTAGGACAACAACGGAATCAAGTTCCGATTTAGAAGCCACCAACTCAGCAGTATGTGGGACGGTCAGGTTTTCTCCCCCCTCGGGTGCTACCAAGGAATCATCTATCTTCTCGCCTTCAGCTTGGAGACTCCCCGGCACTTCTAGAGTTAAGGTTGCTGAATCAGCCTTAGGTTCTTCCACTTTGGCCTTCTTGGATTTCGGAGAATGAGTCGACGGCCTCCTTCGCTTTTTCTTCTCTTCGTCAGATTTAGGGGTATCCGCTTCACCAAGTGGTGCTTCTCTCATCAAGAAGTCCTCCCCCAGACCTGCATAAATGCAAAATATAAACACAGGGAATGAGGACGCAATCGGTGATAGTTCTGTTGGGAGATTCAATTACAGCAGAAGTAAAGGCTCACCGTGGTCCTTGGCTTCCCATAGAGCCATAGACAGATCACGCCACACGTGCTCAATGTTTGGGCAAATCGAATCTAGGTGGCTAACCCAGCCTGAGAGGTCCTTAACCGCGCTAGGGTACGCTGCGACAGCTACATCAGCGGAGGAAGTCAGTTCGTAAGGGGATTTATCCAAAAGGAAAAAAGAACATTCAATTAGCGTATCCACTTATGTTTCATGTTCCACCTTTCAGGGAACGGCATCCTCTCCACTGGAATCAAGTCCGAAGTCCTAACTCGGACGAAACGGCTCATCCACCCTCTGTTCCTAGCCTCGTCAGTACAAGCAAAAAGGGCTCTCGAGGCCTGATATTAGAGCTTAATTAGGCCCCGACAGAAGAGTCGGGGACTGTACATTCTGATCAGGTGGTCGAGGGTGAAGGGCATCCCCTTAATCATGTTCGAATAATATCTGGTCATGTAAACAATTCGCCAGAACGACGGATGAATTTGGCCGAGAGTCACTCGATATCGTTCGCAGAAGTCGAAGATCGTGGGGTCTATTGAAGGCGAGGATAGCTCCACCGGGCCAAGAGTAAATGGATAGGTATACACACTAAGGAAACCGGCCTTGTATGTTGTTATGTCCTCCCCCCGAGAGGGAATCTCCACTAGCACTGCGTCCCCCCAGCGGTAGTCGGTCTTCACCTTCTCGGCGTCTGCAACTAAATTAATATATCGGGACATAGGTTCACATCGTCCCGGGTTCAAAGAAGGTTTGTCGGTCTTGAAATCGGAGGTCGTTTCAAAGGCTCCTGGGATGCATTCCCCAACATGAGGGGGTACTCTTTCTTTGACCTTAGACGAGCGTGAAGAAGAGGAAGGCGCATCTTCCTGAGGGACAGAGGTGGGAGTTTTCGCCATTCCTGCTAAAAGATTTCAGAGGAGAAATGAAATTATAATCAGAAGAGAACACAAGAGAGAAGTAAGAAGAACTCTTTTGAAGGCTTGATGATGCAGTGGAAAATAAGGGGCGAAAGAAGAAGTATTTATAGAGGCCAAACGTGTATGTTGGAGCGGGCCAAAAGATAGCCAGCCGTTGTAATTAATTCAAAAGCTTTTTAAGGGCTGTATGGACGCGACCTTTAGGCACCCTATTCGTCGCACTAATCGCTCGATAGGGCATAACTGATGTCGTGATAAAAGTATCGAAGAGGCAAGAATTCAAGACCGTTTCTCATCATTTTCACTCTAAGAAACGCGGGGACTATCTGTATACGGCTAAAATCGGAGAGTCCGATTATATGATCACTGTGACATTCCGTAGCTTCATCTGGAAGGCTCGAGGCACAGCTCGAGGATCGACTCCGAGGGTCCTATATGTTCGACCTCGGGGCAGCACAAATCGGTGGCTATCATGAACAAACGGAAAATTTCCTAGGCACGTGGTTAAAGCTAACAACGCCTGCAAGAATAGTATTAGTCCGTACCAGACTGTTAAGTAGTTGTACCAACTATGTTTCTTTATAATAATTATATGTACCATGTTGGGATTCCCCCTCCTATATAAAGGGGACCATTGTTATTTCTTACACATGATATCAATACTAGAACAAGAACATTTTCTGCTCTCCAACTTAAATATATTCTCTCTTGATTTCATTCCTTACATTTATTACATTGCTTACATTTATTATGTTTTATTGATTGTTCTTCATTTATTACTCATCATTGATCATAAAGAGCCATCATCAAAGCTCTTAGAACTATTAGTCATTCATCGGCCATCCTCAGCCTGACGCTTTAGCTTGACCTCGGGGCCCAGTATAGGCTAGCTCGAGACCCTGATTCTCGACCATTCGGTTTGCATAGCTTACTATCTTCAAGCTCTTACCTTATTTTCTAATCTTACACTTAGCATCTATTGCCTAACAACTAGTAAATTACCATTTTTAAGGTAAACTATATAGAGAGAGATATTGATATATATGAATCAAAATGAATCTGCGGACATTAATGCCCACTGTAGCTGAACAAGTTCTTTACAATCTGCACGCCAGTATATCATACGAGAAATAACTGAAAAGCAAAAGCTGAAAGAATCAAATTGAATCTGCCAACACTACTTGTCATATACTCCTGGATGTGGTCTTATCCAAAGTAAAGCGATACATTATATAAGTCTATAATTAATTAATAAAGTTCTCATTTGAATTATTCTTTAATTATAGTAAATTAGTACGAATTGATATAAATATCAAATACACATAAATTTTTAAAGGATTAACTTAAATAGCACCCACCCACCACTTAAACTAAAAATAATTGATGAATATGTGATACTCCCTCTAATTCACAAAGATTGACACTATTTTCGTATTAGCTCGTTTAAAAAAGATTGACAATTTTCAATATTTCCTTAATATGAAGCATTTTGTAGCAACACAAATGTTATGCTAGGTTTCAGACTATAAATATCAAAACAGGTACACAAATGATATGACTTATTTAAAACCAAATAACTCAAAAGTGTTTCCTATTTTATTAAAATTTGTGTCAAGTCAAACTATAACAATCTTTTTAAAATGAAGGGAGTATATAGTAATTCATATGTAATTTATGTACAAACCGCATATAATCCATGTATATTGTCGAGAAAATTAAACACTAAATTTAGTCAGCAATTGTATTAAGATCCCTAATTTATACCCGCACCCCCATTTTAGCTTTAGCAGAATATATTTTTGAACTTTGTACTCCTTATAGTTATAGAGTAGTAGAAGTGATCAGAATTCAGAATAGGCTCTAGCTCCAAAGATTCTTTAACCCCTTTTTCTACTTCCGAGAAAATGCAATTTAAGCAGTTGGAAAGAGTTATCATTATTTCGATACCTTTATTTACACGTCTGGCAGGCATGATTTTACCAGGGATATTCGTACTAAGTCACGAGTAGATCAGTGAGAGGGCGTGCATAGAGTGGAGGCAGAGAATATTTATAAGGAGAGGAGAGGAGAGGGAGCTGAAATAGAGACCTTAATAATCAGTTGTAATTCAAGTGGAAGAACAACTTCAAAGTAGTCTGCCAAATATGAAGGTGGTTTTTGCCAACCCTAATATTTGTGTAGAGAAGTTTACATGTGTGATAGAACATTAGTATTTGTATTATGAGCATTTGATTTCCTTTTCCATTCCTCTTTGCCTTAATATGGGGTATATATGCAGTTTTATTCAGTTGACAATAACGATTATCAATGCATGGCTTTTTGCTTTGTTTTTATCACTTCTTTTTCTTCTTTTTCGGTGGTTTTGCTAGTTCTGTTGAGTGGTACTCAATAGTAACTCTCTCATTTGAAAAGTAAAACTTCATGTTTGATTTTTGACATTTGTTTCAATATGTAACTTTTTTTTTTTTTTTTTTACATGTTATAGAAGGGACCTGCAAAGATTGGGAAATCGATGGCTGGTTCTGAAGATGAAGATATATCACCACTTTGCGGCAAACCATACTTTGATTTCATCCTCGGCCAGTCAAATCTCGAGCCCAAGTATTTGATGGTAACTTCGTTTAAATTCTAACTCCTTTTTCATTGAATGCTCGTATGCTAAATGGGCGACTGAGGTCAAATTTTTGATGGATCAAAACGTGTCAAATACCATTACCAATCCACCTAAAGTTTGTCCGAGTCAAAATTGGTCATCCTACTTAACATGGTCCAACCTCTCCTTAATTCCCTTCTTTAGCTTTTTGAAAAAAAAAAAAAAGAATCTAATATGACTTTATGTGTTCGGATTTGAGGTTCATTTTGACTGATCGGATTACACTATTTTTTTACTCCTTTGGTGGTTGAGTGAAGTTGGGGTGATACCCAAAGTTAAAAGTTTGAGGGAGTTGGGCGACATATTAAAAATCTATAATTGATTTTGCCATCTCTGCTAGTGTGTGTGTGACGCATCTAATTCAAGAATATCATATCCTACTCTATGGACAGTTTTTACCAGCAAAAATATGGCCAGAACTTGCTCCAGGTGAAGTTCCTGTAGTCCTCACTTGCCGTGGAAAGAAGTGGGACATGTTCTGCTCCGGAGACAATCAAAGGAGGTTTATGCAAGGCTGGAAAATTTTCGTGAATGATAATAATTTGAAGATCGGAGATGGACTTGTGTTTGAACTTCTGGAGTGCAGCAGAGCAAAAATGACGTTCAAAGTTCAAATTCTCAGAGGTGATTTTCCGGCTGAATTGATCACTGAACCGGAGGATGGTACTGCAGAAAATCCAATAGTTTTATAGGTTGTAATTTGTAAGTATTTGGAAGAACTTTAATTTGTTCCATGCAGAAAATATTTCTACTTTGTTAGTTGTAGTATTAACGTATGTTGCACCATAGGTGGAGGCAGCTTTTTCTTATTTTCATGATCTCAAAGTACTGCATGTTTTATGGATGTTGTAGTAGTGTAATCTACCCGTCAATTTGTGCTATATCTATCTAATTCCAGCTATGTTCCTAAAAAAAAGGAGTCTTGGGAATTTTTTTGACCAGTACTTAGTTATTAGAATTTCAAGATTTTTAGAATCATTGTCGTTGCTTTTAGCAATGGTCCCTGTAGTTTCACCTTCATCCAATGTTCAATCTAGCCTCCAATAGTTAGGGCTCATTTGGTTCAGTTCTATCCTATGGGATCTCACCTCTTACATGATGATAACTAGTACATCAGTTTGGTATAAAATTTATGATGGTATTAGCTAATACTTACACTAAATATGAGATTACTATAATCTCATATTTTATTATGTAGATGGAAAAATTCTATAAAATATAAACATTAGCTACAAATCATATTATCATAATTATTTTAAAGTGTTCTGATTTATGGTAAATATGGTGCATTATTTAGTTACAACATGTAAAATTTTCTATTTTGTACTCTCTTTATTTATCCTCCATCCCGATTCGAACTTCTAATGTTTTACTCGTCTATTTTCCTTTAATATGATGATGTAACGATTCGACCAGTCGTTTTGTGTAATTACGCCCCGTTTCCCCTTTTGATGATTCACACATGTGTAATTTGGGTTTTATGACGAACGGGGTGTTTTGGTTTTGTTCCGGAAAGATTTCAGGTTATTTAGACATGTTAGTTCTTGACTTAGAAGCTTAAGTTAGAAATATTGACCAAACTTTGTCTTTTGTCAAAACGATCTCTGATAGCTCTATATCGTGCTTTTGGACTTGGGCATATGCCTGGATCGAATTCGAAAGTCCGTAGGTTGATTTGTGTTGTTTTATCGAAAATTGGCAATTTGAGGTTTAAAAAAGTTTGACCGTAGGTTGACTTTTGGCTATCGGGTTCAGAATTTTATTTTAGGACTTGGAATAGGTCTGTTATGATATTTAAAACTTATCTAAAAAATTTGGTATTGTTTGGAGTTGATTTGATAGGATTCAAATTAGTTGCAATTGTAGAGGTTCTTGAACTTCACTTTGAAATTCATGCATTTTGATGTCCGATTCGTAGTTCTACATGTTATTTTTGTGTTTTGATCGCGCGTGCGAGTTCATATGATGTTCTTAGACTTATGTAGATGTTTAGTTTGCAACCCACGGAGGATGAATTTCAGACGTGTTTCAGAATATTTTGGACTGAAAACAGGAAATCTGGTGTGTTGATGCCTCTGGTGTCGCATTTTCAAACACCAGGGTCGCAATTGTGACCTTAACATGTGGATCACAAGTATTGCAATTGCAATGCCTGGGTCGTAATGGCAAAATTGACTTGGACTGGGCTAGGTTCGCATTTGCGACAACTGAGTCGCTTTTGCAAAGGGAACATGTTTCACATTTGCGAAATCCATTTTCGCATTTGCGAGTTCCCTAAGACTGTTAATGCTGCAACTGCGAGCTTTTCTTTGCAATTGTGAACCTGTATCGCAATTGCGATAACTGCAACTGGACATAAGGGCTGGGAAGTCGGGATTTAATCTTATTTCTCACATTTTAGAACCCTAGACTCAGTAGGAAGCGATTTGGAGAGGGAATTTTCATCTACAAACATTGGATAAGTGATTCTAATTAATTTTCAACTATAATTCATGAATATATCTTAGATTTAACATCAATTGTATGTTATTCAAAGAAGAAAAATTGGAAAAATTCAAAAATTGTCAAGTTTTTGAAAAATGAAGAATTGAGTTTTGAGAGTCGATTTTTTTTCGAATTTGAAAACTAATCACATATATGGACTTGTGGGGTTATGGGTAGTCAGAAGTTACCTTTGGACCCGGGTTTTGACCGGGTGAACCTGGGTTGACTTTTGTGAATCATTGGAAATTTTACAAAGATCAAAGGTTTATCTATTTTAATTGTGTTTTCTTGTATTGGTTGATGATACTAAGTCACTTTTGATTAGATTTGAGTCATGTGGAGGCGAATATTAGGGAAAAAGCTATTTTCGAGGGTTGGATGGGCCTAGTTAAGGTAAGTATCTTGCCTAACTTTATATGGGGGGTCTGCCCCTTAGGATTTAGGTTTAATTGTGCTATTTGTGTTACGTGAAAATCGTGTACGCAAGGTGACGAGTGGATACACGAGTTATATGTGGTATTTAACTGATTTAGGTTATTTAGTCTCTTTCCACCTCTTTAATTGAATTGTCATATCATATTTAAATTCTCATTGTTAATCTACTCTTACATGTGTTAGTCTATCCAAACATGTTTTATTTGGCTTTGTTAACAATTGTTCTACCTCTTACTTGATACTTTGATTTTATATGCTTTAGTTGAAGTTATTGCCTTCCTTATTGCCTTGTTACATCTTTAATTGTTGAATTACTTTTACTTGAAGTTGCTATTTCATGAAATGTCTTTTTTTTAAGTTAATTGTGTTGAAGTTGTGAAAGTCGTTATCACATTGAGGCGAAGTGGTTAATTGTTGAGTTATCTTTCTTGTTGACCAATTCACACTCATTGTTATAGCTAATATTCTTGTACACATTGTGGTTGAGCCATGGGCTATTTGTTGTGGAAATATTGATATTGTTGATTTTGGCAAGTTGTGGTATATGGGCACTTATGGTGCTAGTAGTTATTGTGTTGTGATATTGATGCACATGCGATAGTATAATAATAGGGGTTAATATGCATATTGTGGCATAAGGTGGAATTTATGTGCGTGTCGAAAGTAAGAGAATTACTTGAAGCCACGCGGCAACATATAAAGTACGTGTAGCTATTTCGAGGGAAATATTTTCAAAACTATCAAAATGTAAGGCTCATGCCGGTACAAGAAAAGATTGTGATTGAAATTGTAAAATGTGAATATGAGGCGGTACCTCGGTTGTGATTCTTGTTGTGCATTTCATAATAAAAAGAGTTATTGGTTGATCAGTTCTTGTTGCTTTTATTCTTCCTTGTGTTATCGGTTTTGTCCATATTTGACTATTTGTGGTTCTCATTAATTGCTTCCTTCTTGTTATCTTTATGCTTATAATTTTGTCATTAGCTTAGTTATTAAATTGCTTCATTATCATTCATTTCTTCGCTTTTTCATTACTCCTCGTTATTATATTTTGTTTTGTTTATCAGGTCCTAGTAGGTGTTTTGACCTGGCCTCGTCACTACTATACCGAGCTTCAACTCCTCAGAATAAGCTCCAAAATTTGGAAAATAAAATAAGAAATCACAAATTATGGTTTTAAATAGTCCATGCAGAAAAAATTGCCCCGCACTGCAAAAACGACTATGCGGACCACATAATGGATCTGCGGTCCATAAAACCATTGTGAAACAAAATAGTCCCACTCTACAGCCATCACGAAATCGATATGCAGCCCGCAAGTGCATTCTGCGGTCCGCAAAATTCACTGCAAAATTAATCGGACCAAACTCATCAATGACCGCAAAACTGATGTGCGGCCCATAGAACCATTACGTGGTATGCGCAACCTTTCCCGAAAATGACCTACCAACATCCAATTTCTGCAAACCTCGCTATGAACGCACTGAAATTCACCTGATCCCTCAGAACCCAATCCAACCATACCAACATGTCCATAAATACTATCCGGACCTATCCAAAGTCTCAAAACACATCTGAAAACATCACAATAATGAATCGAGGATCAAATCTGATAGATTTCTCTTAAGTTTGTAAACTTCAAAGCTTCCAAACAAGCGTCCATTTACAACTTAAACACCTCGAATCTCAACCAAACGTTGCAAATAATTTCTATTCAACCATATGATTCTTTTCCAAATCTCGAAACATCAATCAGGGTCTAATAACACCAAAGTCAATTCTTAGTCGAACTTATGAACTCTCTAATCCTTCAAATTGCCAACTTTCGGCAAATATAGCCAAAACCTTTTAGAAACCTCTAAGTCCAAATCCGAACATACGCTTGGTCCAAAATTATCACATGAACCTATTAGAATCATCAAGTCCCGATTCCCCAAGCCGTTTACTAAAAAATCAAACATTTGTCAACTATAGAAATTTAAGCTTCCTAAATGAGTCTAAGTGTTCACAAATCAATCTCAAACCTTCGTGAAACCAAACCAATCATCCTCGCAAGTCATAAAACAACAAACAAATAAATATCATATAGTGGAATGGGGCACAAATACATAAAACGGCCTATCAAATGGCTGCACTCACACCAATCGTGGTTCACCGCATACTCGGAGCACTAAATGGAAAGGACTCACGTCGCTTCAAATTCAAAAGTGACGATGACGGTTTCGGTGATTTTCCTCTTAAACCTTTTCACTTCCCGGATAATTTTTCGAGAACTACTCGAAAAATGATAGTTTTGTTATGAAACAATAAAAGAAGAAGAATAGTATTGCAGAGAAAAGTAGGGAGAGAGAATTCTTATTGATTTGGGATGATTTACAATGGAATAGAACCCTCTATTTATAGGGAGAGGGTGACTTAGCCACCAAGTAATAAACCCTAGAATCTCTCTAGAATATAGACATTCACCTTAAATAGAATTCTATTTATAACACTCCCCCTTGAATGTCTATTCAACAGATAATGTGCCTCGTTAAAACGTTGACTAAAATAAAACCCAGTGGGGAAAAAAATTCTAGAGAAGGAAAAAGAGTACACATATCTAACAATACGCCTTTTGGTTGCCTCGTTAAAAATCTTGCAAGAAAAATCCAGTGGGACAAAACCTTGTAAGAGAAAAAGAGTACAACGCGTATTAACTCCCCCTCATGAGAGCATCACTTCACATCCTTAAGCATTTGCATTCCAATCTTGTGCACCATTTTCAAAAGATCTTTGGTAGATATTTGATAAATAATATCAGCCATATTACTTCAACGAATTTGTTTCACCTTGAAATCATCATCCATGATAGATGTATTGTCTTCATATGATCTTGTTGGAATCATCATTTCAATATCTTCACATAGGGGTGAAAACTCTTGCTATCATATTATCATGCTTATAGTTATAGCAAGATACATATGTGCACAAATTGCATTTAGGATATAGTTCTTCATGACCATGAATTGTATATGCTTTAAGCAATTTAAATCCTTCAAGGATTTTTAAATCATATAAGCCATATAATAGACTTTAGATACATATCAAGTTTTCATGTCATGCTAGACATATAAGATATCGAAAACTGATTGCACATATCATTGACTTTATCGTTTCAAGTGTTTGAACTGCAGGTCCAAAACTACATGTCTTTCATATGAAACCAAATTCTATTCGAATTGTTTCTTCAGACTTAAGATCCTCATATATATATTTAGCACTATCATAGATGTCGTCGACAAACATTTTATATCAGTTTCAATATTTTTTCATAAAGACATAACATCGAGATCTCTTCATTCATATTTTCAGGTACTTGAATCTCTCTTGAGATTTTATGAAGTGTTATGTCATGCGACCTTCTAGATCACTTACCTCCTTTATTGTGATCATTTAGATCATTTGCTCATCTTCTTTATCAAGAAGTTTATTTGAAACTGATTTATCTATACGCTTTAAGCGTACCATAGACTTTATCCTTCTAGGACTTATTCTAATAGGAGCATTTGCAGTGAGAATATAGTTACTTTCTTTGGGTCAGCAAATGCGTCTGGCATGCTTTGCAATATATTGCAAATGAATTATCCTTTTATGAACTTCAAGTTCATATTATTTTATTCGAGGATCTAGATGTATAAATGATAATTCATTCCACGTAACTTTTTCTCAAATGTTTTATCTTGTCTCCCCCTCATGTTAGAAAAACTAACTTGTTTCCTCAACTTTGAGAATCCACCTTTGTGCGTTATGGTGTTAATCAAAATATACACCGCACATCAATAATAATAATAAGGTGGGATTATTTGGTTCCTGACCCTGAACCACTTGTGAGGGGAGAATATAATATACTTTCGTATATAACCTATATCAATGTGATACAGATAACTTTGTTCTCATAAGCAATTATTTAGCTATTAAGTGGAGGCACTCAATAAATTATTTTGCTAAACCAATTGTGTTATAAACCAACTTATCAAGATGAACTATCTTGAATAGAAAATCTGGAAATTATGCTTTATATTAAATTATTGAGCAAGTTACCTCGCAAACACCAGGTTGCGGGTCAATAATAATTGCACATGTAACCATCTCATAGATGCATCTTATGTGGTATACATGGCAGGTGAATAGGCCCATATTCACCTTTGATATTTCCAGCATTCGTGAAATTCAATCACAATTTTAATTGGTCTATTAATTAATGAGAACAAGCAATGTAAGAGAATTCGTAAAGAACTTTCTAGTTCTTTAATATTTACCCATGTGAATTCTCTTTTATTTTTGCACATCATACTTGAATTAACATGGCTAAACCAATTATGCCAACTGGATACATTATCAATATTGACAAACTTCAGATTTACACTATGACTTGTGCAATTATCAATAAACTCCAAGTTTATTATGATATGGGTTTTTATATCAATAAACATCCACTTTATTGTGGTATTCTTTTATTTGTGTAGTACAAACTGGAGAATAAAGCGGGTAGCTTTTCACATACATATTATCCAGCTACAAGTTGTAGTAATAGAAGATATTAAATCTTTTCTTTATTTATAGTCTCAATATAATCAATCGCTTTTGCGTATACTTTGAAAACTGAATAAGTTTCTTTGAGACTTACTACAATACAATACCTTATTGGTAATCAATTGTGTTTCTCCAAAATAGTAATAATTGGCTCTTCCAGAGCTCTCAATTAATTTGGTACTACCACATATTCATCAACATCCATATGGTGAATATCTCTTTCAAGGAGAAAGTTATACCATTATGGGTATGGTCAAAATTATATGCAAGATTTGTTTCTTGCATTACCGTTGTCTTTTAATAATCACAATGCCAAAATATTTTGGCGTACAATAGGTACGTGACCAATGACCATTCATGCCATAATAATGACATTATTTTCTTATATCATCTCAAACCTTCTTCTAGAGGTGAGTGTGGTATATTCACTATCACTAGCACGTTCATATTCTTTGAAGAATGAATATGTATTCATAAATCACATGTTTTCACATTCACATCGTGAATGGACCATAATCATCTATATGTGCTTTATAAAATATCATGTCAAATCGATGACAAATATTACTTTCACAGAGTGAAGGATTATTTTGAGAATCCTTATTATTCTCATTATCACAATGATGACGATTATAATTTCATCTAATACCACGTCCACATCCATTGATACCTTCACGGTAATAATTTTGTCTTCATTCAGACTTATCACATACTGCTATCGCATTCTCTTAAGGGAATGAGAATGAAGCAAATTCAATGGGACGGGTATGCACTTCTTGTGCCCATAATCATACATAAATTTGATCATGGCAAGATATAGAAATTTTACCACTTCGAGTGGTTATAATTTCTTACTAACTCCATTAGAGTTATAACCAAATTTTATTGTCTTTGCTTGTATTTAAAATCAAATTATAAAATAAAAGAGAAAAATACGGTAAAACACTTACCTTAAATCCAGAATTTAATCGTGAAGGAAGTTCATGGAACAATTGACAATCATTATGCTCAATCCCAAAGTTTCTACTCAATTGGTTAGAGTCTCGTGCTGATAACGTGTTATGAAACAATAAAAGAAGAAGAATAGTATTGCAGAGAAAAGTAGGGAGAGAGAATTCTTATTGATTTGGGATGATTTACAATGGAATAGAACCCTCTATTTATAGGGAGAGGGTGACTTAGCCACCAAGTAATAAACCCTAGAATCTCTCTAGAATATAGACATTCACCTTAAATAGAATTCTATTTATAACAGGTTTCGTGTTGTTACTCTATCCCGTTCTTTCCATTCTTGTCCCATTTTTCAAACTAAATTTCATGAAATAATAAATTTGGGTAGATTGTCTATTTTATCAGTGAACTATATTAAAGAATTTCTTTTTTGAAAAATTCCAATTATTCTCAACGACTACTAGCAATTAGTTGTATCATTAACGGTTATATATTTATGAAAATTTTTGTAGGTTGTTGGAATTTCTTATTAACTTCCATATCGACGCATAAGTATAGCTGATTGTTCAATTAGGCTGAGAATATTCTCCTACCCACACCCTTTTTCTCCTATTGGGCACATGTAGGTGTGCCTATTTTGAAAGGCAGGCCGAATAAATAAAAAGCCCAATAAAGAATGAATACAGAAATATTTGTCCTCCTCATTCCACCTCATGCTAACTTCTCTTATCCTTTTATTTATCACATTCCAAAGAAACACACTCTCCTTCTACATTCTCTTCTCTGCAGAGTTTTCTGGTTTCTATTTCAAACCCATTTTGCAAAATTCAAGAATTATTGAATAGTTTTTGCTTATAATTAAATACACGTCAAGATATATGGTGTGAAAATAAGTGACAACTTATGACTCCCTTATTATTCCTTTATGTGAATTTATAGTAGAAATTAACATGTCTTGCCTATTGCATCAATTCAAGTGTTTGCCTGATACTTTTGCCCTTAGCTTCAAAACCCATCAACAGTCTGCCCCTCAACTCTGTAAGTCTCTTACTTTCCCCGCAAGATACTTGAAATATAAACAATACTCCGTAATTGCCTTTTTTTTTTTTTAATGGCAAAGTTGAATTTAGTAAGTACTTATTTTTCTGATGGTGTTGTGTTCAAAAGTTAATGTTCAATGAGGAAATATCTCTGTTTTTTATGTTAATGATTTTGTTAATATTTTCTTACCAATTTATTTCTTTATGCGACTGCGGTGAGCAATGTTTTAGCTTTCTGAATAACTTCAATGAATATGGAGATTCAAAGATTGTGTTTATTTGGTACTGAATCCCTTGTAAAAGAAATTGAAAAAAAGAGAGGATTTTGTAGCTAAAGTTCTCGACTTTATAGCAATTTAGATTCTTCATTGATATTAGATGTTGATTTTTTAGTTACTGAAGGAATTATGTAGGATTCTGAATGACTGAATCTATCCTTTGCCACATAATCAGACGGTGATCAAATATATAATAGTAGTACTTTTTATTTTTAAGCAAAAGATTCCAACACGAGTTAGTGAGTCCATTGGGTTTAAATCTTAGATCAGCCTCTGCATGCAGTTAGTGTTGTTATCTTCATATCCTCATGTTGTGATCCTTTGGAAACAATGTTGGCTGCAAGATGGACTGTATTAATATAAATTAATGTAGTATTAGACTTTTAGATTCTTGATGAGGTCTATAAAAATCCAATTACTGCTCAAAAGTAGAAAACTTACTGAGAAACTTACAAACCTCACAACTACTGTTTAGGTACCGTACACATAGGGAGAGGGAGGGTGAGGGAACCTAAAGCTAGCAGTTAAGTAAGTAACCGGTAAGCTGCTGAATTGGAACTCTTGAAGGCATGCCTTTACTCCCAAGACCGGATTCATTCACGCTTTCGCACCTCAGCATCGGCAGGGCCTAGAGAGCTGCCTTCACTTTTGTTTCCCTCTTGCCAATAAACTTTCCCCATCCTTCGATTAAATCCACTTCTTTCGAAGGAGGTGAAGAGGACCGACTGACCCGGGTTTTCACAAGTGTTGGCGGAAGGGTTTGAGTCTAAATGATTTGATAGTGCTCAAGCTAAAGATCGATGTCCTTCAGAGCTAACATAGAAGAGAGATTTCCGGATAGCAAACCCAGAAGTTATTAAAACCGAGATATGGAACTCCAGCAAGAAATTATTGAAGAGTTGGTGTCGGACGGAGCAGGCACACTGACTACTCTATTGTGAATGAACTTATATTACTCTAGGATCATAAGTTGCTTATGTCTATTGATGATGCTTAGGAAAGGCGGGACTCTATCTCCACTATTAATTCCGAGTGAAAGCTTTATACAATGAGGACTACCTGTTGTGCTAGTTGTATTTTCAGAAGACACAACTCTTGTGTTTGACTATTTCATTAAATGTTCCTGTCATTGCCTCGGTAAGCTTGATTTATGAGCTGCAGCCTTTTGCTTTGCCACAAGTGTGTGATGACTTACATTTGGTAATCTACCTGGTCGGATTATACTAAGTTTAGTGTATGTTGAGTTGTGTCCCACTTCGGTGGGGAATGGTGTCTTGGTCTCCTTATATGGTCTTGGGCAATCCTCACCTCATAAGCTAGCTTTTGGGGTTGAGTTAGGCCCAAGTTCCATTCTTATCATGGTATCAGAGCCAGACCCATCCCAATTTATTGTTACCGATGTTGGGCCCCCATTTATATTGTACACGCTCCAGTTGCAGGCCTGGGCATGAGGGGGGTGTTGAGTTGTGTCCCACATCGGTGGGGAATGGGTGTCTTGGTCTCCTTATATGGTCTTGGGCAATCCTCACCTCATAAGCTAGCTTTTGGGGTTGAGTTAGGCCCAAGTTCCATTCTTATCACTCATATACCTGGATGCAACTTGATTCTAAAGTTTTAGCTTAAAGTTGCTCAATTCACTATTACATATATCCTTGTGCGGTTGGGAAGGTGTTAATTATCCATATTATAGACTCCATGGTTCTTAATATCATCCTTTCTGAAATGCAGCAAAAGGTAGAGATCCTTCTCAATTGCGGACTCAATGCGTCTTATCCACTACATCAACAGCGGCAGCTACAGTGCTTGATATTGAGAGGCTACAGTTACCGTCTATAGACAGATCATGGAAAGCACCAACGGTAAATGCCACAACCACAGAAATAGATGTACAGAAGCTAAAATTGCAGTCGTTGGAGGCTCATTCACCGGGATACAGTGGAGGAGTTGCTCTGTCCACTGAGGTACAACTTAAATGAATAGCCTAGAAATATATAGAGATTAATCTTGAACACTGAGAAACTGAATCGTGTTTCCATCTCTCTGAAAAGAAAGATGAGATAAGTTTCAGGTGGAGTTAGTTTTACGATAATAAAGAATAAAGAAGCAGTACTGAGTAGTTTTTTTCTTTTAAACTTGAGCAGCTTTCTAGGTTACAAGTGGAAGCAGGTTATATATTGCCTTGGCCACGGAGTCAAATTTATATACCATCGAAATCACTTTAGCACCAAGTTCTGGTTCTTAATATGCTATTTCTATTGGATCTTACTCTGCCTCTTCATTGGTTGTAATATGCCCGGTGTGAAATACGAAAAGGCTGTTACTTGTAAATTGCTGATTCAGTACATCTGCAGGCAAACACTAAATCGGCTTTAGCTACTGAAAATCTTCTTACGGGTGAAGAAGCTGTAATAGCTGCTGCTGCTGCTGAAGCAGTTGCTTTGGCAAAAGCTGCGTTAAAAGTTGCAAAAGATGCTGTGATGATGGTCGGCCATAACAACTCAGATGACACTGTGGCAGGTGTGGATACTACCCAGCTGTCTGAGAGGTTTCAACCTGGCGAGACGGGGCGAAACAGCATAGTTGGGGAGCTAAAGGCAAGTGAGATGAAATGGAGCGAAAGTAATTCATCCGGAAACTCACATACAGATTCTGAGGACCTGGAACCAACACATGAAGAGCTGGAACTTCTTCAAACAGAGCTTTTAAATGGTATAGCTGTAAGATCTAAACGTCAAAATGAACGGAAGGCTAGAAGAGCTAGAGCAGCAGAGAGGGCTGCAGCCAATGTTGTGTCAGTGAAGTCCGGTTCCGCAGGCCGAAAAAAGCGTGCGTCAGTACAAGATGTTGATTACTCTGATCCATTGCGTTACTTGAGAGGAACAACAAGTACTTCTAGGCTGCTCACTGCATCTGAAGAACATAAGTTATCAGAAGGAATACAGGTGCTAAGTTGCCCTTTTGCCTTCTGAGATTTTGTACAAGCATTTTCCTTTTCGGCTGCAGCAACAAGCACCCTTGCACCAGCTTTTACCTTTCTTTATTCATCCCAAGTAAAATATATCTTTCCACTTGCTTATCTTTGGCGCAAACCTAAGTGTTGTTTATTAAATCTGAATCCGGAGAACTACTTTTATCTATCTTTCTCTTTTTGTTACATAGTCAGGGTCCAAGTTTGGGTGCATGAGTAGTTTGTGAATCTTTTCCTTACCCTGCTATGGATTTTAATTCCCATCTGATTGTGAAGGTATTCAATGAAAGTCAATCTACTGTAGTAAACATCATGTCAAAAAGGATACTTCTTGTCTAACTGAAATTGTCTGCTTCCATGAACAATTATTAGCCTTTAGTAGAACACTGCAAAAGTTGCTCCTGGATCTTTTTGTTTATTGCTTCAAATGAAGGATCTAGTCGCGAACTCTTAATAAAGTGCTGAGACATCATTGTATCTACTGCTAACTTCTTTCTCAAGTTCATGTTTATATTTTATTTTTCTGAGGAGTTTGCTTCCTACTTTTCCTGGAAAGTCTTTTATTTTTGTGTTTGTTCTTTAACGAATTTGTGATCACAAAAAAAACAGGAGCTACTGAAGTTGGAAAGGCTTCAGGAGGAGCTTGCAGAGCGCTGTGGGGGTCAGCCCACTTCTGCACAATGGGCTGCTGCAGCCGGAGTTGACCTGAAGACCCTAAGGAAGCGTATAAACTATGGCATTCTTTGTAAAGATAAAATGATTAAGAGCAACATAAGGCTTGTTATATCGATTGCCAAAAATTATCAAGGAGCAGGAATGAATCTTCAAGATTTGGTTCAGGTATATATGGGGCAATTATGTGTGATCACGACACTGTAGCTCTTCGGAGGGATTAAAACCATCAGAAACATAATGTGCTTATATTTGGAAATTGATCTACAGGAAGGATGTCGAGGCCTTGTAAGGGGTGCTGAAAAGTTTGATGCTTCAAAGGGTTTTAAGTTTTCAACATATGCTCATTGGTGGATTAAACAGGCCGTTAGGAAGTCGCTTTCTGATCAATCCAGGACAATTCGGTTGCCGGTATGTCTGACACTCCTGCTCCTAATAAAAAAGAAAGACAACTATGTCTTTGTTGGCTTTCCTTGGCTTATCTAATTTTGAGCATTCCTTTAATTTTTCCATGACAGTTTCACATGGTCGAGGCAACTTATAGAGTTAAGGAAGCAAGAAAGCAATTATATAGTGAAAATGGTAGACATCCTGATGAGGAGGAACTAGCTGAAGCAACTGGATTGTCAATGAAGAGGCTCACTGCTGTGATGCTAACTCCTAAAGCTCCAAGATCACTTGACCAGAAAATTGGATTCAACCAAAATCTCAAACCTTCGGTTGGTCCTGGAAAACATTTCTTGTTTATTTTACGTTCTTAATGATCCTGGAAAATCTTTGTTTTCACTTTTTCAGGTATTGTTGTGTCCAATCCAGCTATTCTTGAATTAATCTTTTGTGTGGTTAGAGAACTTTATTCACTATAATACTAAAGTTACAAAATACTTAGGGGTGCGGCCCTTCCCGGACCCTGTGTGAATGCGGATGCTTTGTGCACCAGACAACCCCAACTACAAACCTACCATCAAGGGGGGTGACTTTACTGTTACAGGGGGTTGAACCTTGGGGCTTTACTTTTATAGCGGGTAAAGTTCATTTAATTTAATGTGGCAGAAAACAGTTTTATAATTTAACTGTTGTTGTAGATAAAATTCAGTTGCTTTAGTGTGAGAAAAAGCTAGTTTTGTGACTTTAGTGTTAAAATGGATATTATTCAGTTACCATACATGAAATTAGCCCTGCAATTCTTGCTTCTTACCACTTTAGAATTAATTGACTCTTATTTGTTGTGCTAACCTTTATCGGTTTCTTTTACATATGGTGTTCAGGAAGTGATTGCAGACCCTGAAGCCGAAACATCAGAAGAGACATTGATCAAGCAGTTCATGAAACAGGACCTACAGAAGGTTTTAAATACCCTGAATCCAAGGGAGAGGCAGGTTATTCGATGGCGATTTGGACTGGAAGATGGGAGGATGAAGACATTGCAAGAGATTGGAGAATTAATGAGCGTAAGCCGGGAGAGAATCAGGCAAATTGAGTCTAGTGCATTCCGCAAGTTAAAGAACAAGAAAAGAACGAAAAATTTGCAGCAATATATTACTGCTTAAGAGTCTCCAGAAAAATAGAAGTATTCACTTTCTATAGTTCATTGAGTCTTCATTGTTTGATAGGAAAAGTTGGTTCTTCTTTAACAATTTTTTTTTTTTCAGAACTTTGCAAACATTTTGTGCATAATACAAAAAATTTGGTTCAAATGATTGGAACATTAAATTTTCTGTTCCTCATGGGAGTAAACGTATTTAAAAATTTCTCCTAACATTATGCCCATATGCAATTATTGCGCATTAAAAATTGTGGTACTTTAGGCTATAGGTGTTTATCAGGCGGGACGGGACGGGTTGAACAAAAAAAACCAGCCCCTCCGTTATCGGACCGGGTTGGTTAGCGGGTTGGGATAACGGGCTGGTAGCGGGTAGGGAGTTTTTGGGCCCGTTCGGATTCGAGCTTAACGGGTTCGGGCGGGCCGGGCTAGTGTAAATTTTTTTTATTTAAATTTTGTTTTTCTTATTCAATGTTATTGATTCTTAAGTGTTTGCAAACTTTTAAGGCTTAGAATTAAACTTTGAAGTTCAAACATTAAAGTTTTAAATTTGAAATTTGAATTTTAAAATTATAAAATTGAATTAGAAAGTAAGTGGCTACAAAAAATTATTTAATAAGACCAATAGGCAATATGTAAGGAACAAACTCCGAAGGCTTTCATTTTATATTTATAATACTTCAAAATAATTTGCAAGTTCTTTTTTGATTTTTTTTATTTTTGAACTTGCAAATTAAAAGTTACAACAATTATAAAAAAAAGAAAAAGAAATAGTACATCACATATTTTGCATCATTTTTGTAAGTTCTTCCATGTCACATGAGGTTCTTGGTTTCCGGCATTGGTTAAATCAGAACCATAAACCATTATATCTCCAATTTCTTGGTCCTCCTCCTCGTCTACCTCGGCACGCCCTTGATTTCGCCGTTCTGATCTTATCCAATCTCTGAAGCACACTAGAATAACCAAAATCACCTCTTGATCTTTTGGAAGTTTTCTTACTACCACTACCACCTCTACTGGTGCACGCTTTTTTGGCTGCTCTAAGTAAATCCATATGTAAATTAAATTAATAATTCAAAATAATAAAATAAGTGTACACCAAATAAGAGAAAGAGATGGAACAAGTGTACCGGGATTTCGGATGCCGCACTAATTTTGATATCAAAAATCAAACTTCAATTGACAGACCGAAACTTGATAGTTGATACTTGATAGTACTTGATACCACACTTCACTTGAATACTTGATATTTGATAATAATAATAATTTTGTAATGGCTAAACTAAATAATTGATGAAACTTGAAATAATAAGTAATTGAGAATTTGAGATTTGAGAATTTAAGGACAATAATATCAAGAGAGAATTGAGAGAGAATCAGAGTAGTAAGAGAGTGAATTGTGAGAAAAAATGAAGAAGAAGGGAGGTTATTTATAGGTTTTAAAAGGTTAAAAATATAAATTTTTAATAATTAGGGGTGGGAGGGCTATATTTTTAATGGGGGAGGCCGAAAAAGTCATTTCTGCAAAATCTGGCCATTCCCCAACGGTCATTCTGAATTTGACCGTTGGCAACGGTCCAAATAACTAAAAAAAAAAAAAAATTGTAACGATAACTGGGATGAAACGGGTTGCAGCCCGCTAACAACCAGTTAACGGGCTTAGCGGGTACGGTGCACCGGTATCCAAAATATGTTCGTCCAAAACCTCTTCCCCCCCTCCCAACCAACCCGTCCTAGCCCGCACATAAAGCTACAGTAACGGGCTAAACCGGGCTGACCCGGGTTGAAGCGGGTTGAAAACGGGTCAGCCCGGCTCGATTAACACCTACACTTTAAGCAAAGCAAATGAAATAGTCCCTTATTAGCAAGCAGTACCTAAGATGCCGTTTGTTTCGAAAATAAGGTGATAGAAACTAAAAATTCACCGAACTGTATAGAGAACCAGGTTCTATATCAATCCCCACAGTAAGCAACAGATTGTAAAACCAAATAGTATAGGGAACCAGGTTCTTTATCTATTCTCACACTAAATCGGCAGTAAATAAAGAACACTCGATATTTATGTGGAAAACTCCTTGCTCAAGAGATTAAAAACCACGACCTACCCTAGTCGGATTTCAACTCCACTAAACCAAGAAAACTTCATATTACAACCTATTACAATCTAGGAATTAAACTCTTAATCCCTCACCCCTTGCAAAACTCTATTATAAGCCCTTTGCAATAACTCTATTACAAAGCAATAAACCTTGACTAACTCTAGTCAAGAAACAAAACCAAACAGTGGTTTAAATCTGTCCTATAGAGACACTTCTTGAAAGTAGTGTAGGATTACAGATGAAGAACAAAATAACAAAGACTCAACGAACCTAAGGACTTAAGATATCTTCAATCTTTGGATCTGGTCCTTAAGATTGCATCAGCTTTGTTCTTGAGAGAGGTGGTGGCTATTTTTGGATTTGCAAGTGTTGGGGAAATGAAATCTCTTGCCTCATGTTGATAATATGTGTGTGTGAGGTCATCAAAGATGATGCAATAAAGTGTCCTTTATTTTGGCCTTAGCAAGAAAGAGCCACAAGGTTTTGTTTCTTTGTACCCTAATAGATCAAGCACGAACCCAGAAAATGTTGCCATTCTAGATGTTCTCTTTCGATCCACCAGATATCCAACATGATCAGCATCAGCATATCCAACCAAGTCAAAATTATCTCTTGAAGGGTAAAAGAGGACCATGTCCTACGTTCCCTTAAGATATCTCAAAATTCTTTTGGCAACCTTCAAGTGAGATTCTTTTGGGCTTGATTGGAACCTAGAACACAACCAAACACTAAAAACAATATCAGGTTTGCTAACAGTCAAGTACATAAGAGATCCAATGATACCCCTATACATAGTCCATTGACAGGAGAACCAGGTTTGTCCATGTCTAAACGAGTAGTAATGGGAATAGGTGTATCAATACTCCCAGCATTCTCCATCTCAAATCTTTTCAACAACTCCTTGAAGTACCTAAACTCCAGAATTTGAAGGACCGGGTTCCTTCATATTTGAAACATCATTGACATCAACAGAATTATGACTTCCACTTCTTTGTTCTACATCAGGAGTACCTGATGCAACATCAGCAATCCTTTGTTCAGTTTCAGTCGAGGTGATATAGGGACCAGGTTCTTCTGTGCCTTTTGAAGATTCTACTACATCTTCTTCATCGCTCTGCTTGAATTGACACATGAGTCTTCCCATTTGCAATATCTATAGCTTCACCAGGAGAATTTGCAATGTCACGACCCAAACCGATGGGCCGCGACGGGCACCCGGTGCCTTACTCAACCGAGTACCAACGTAATGTATCTTTCTTATTACATCAACATAGGTAAATGGGTCGTATGAGGTAACAAGAATAAAACATAAAGGAAACACTCCACATAAAATGACCCAACCTGATATACTGACTTATACATATGACATACGGGCTTATAAGGCCAAAATAATCACTCGTACACTAAACATAGGTCGACAAGGCCATACAATATTTTACGTACATGACATCTGTGTACAAGCCTCTAAGAATACATAATTTTCATAAAGATCGGGACGGAGTCCCGTCATATCAAACAATACACGCCTAAATTGTACTAACTAAACAAGCAACTCCGAAGCAAATGGACGTACCAACATCTTCTGTTGAGCTGATAGCCTACTTGGAGGGCTCTCGACCTGTCTATCGGGATCTGCGGGCATGAAACGCAGCGTCCCCAGGCAAAAGGGACGTCAGTATGAATAATGTACCGAGTACGTAAGGCACATAAATAAGTACATAACAGACATGTAAGAAATATAGAGTAAATGACTCAACCACTAAGTCTGGATTACTCTGCAAATCATAAATAATTATAGTGTCATGCATATGCGTATGAATGTCATGTCGTGCATAGGTACATATTTCATAACATCATCAGGCCTCTGAGGGCATCCCATCATATCATCTCGGCCATTGTGGGCAAAATCATCAACGTATACCAGCTGATCAGGTGGTGGTGCATATATAACGCCGTAACCTTTTCTCATATCCCATATACATATATATATATATATATACGCGTATATAACGCCATCTGAGTCATGAGTCAATGTACATGTATAAATGCATGAAATGCATAAGAAATACGTTAATAAGATTTTCTCGGGATGCCATAAAACTCAATATGCCTTTCGGATAAACTTTATCAAATACATATTTTTTTGAGACCCATGAACAGAAGATGGAATAATAAGACTTATGGGAGAATAATAATATACACATCTCTGGCATTTCTACGAATAGAGTAATTTATGGAACTTGTGTATTTGCTCGTTTCGTTTGTGTCGTATGAATCATGCCAAAAAGAAAGAAGGGATAGCCTTAACATACCTGAACCGATTATCTTGACAATCCCTCCAACACACGTTGATTGTTGAGAAAACATGTAACGGCAGATCGAAGTAGGGGAAAATCTATATGACATTCTTTGAGAAAGAATGCACCGTACTCCTTTATAATCGTAAAATCCCGTTATTGTAAAATTACGTAGTATAATTGCTGAAAATCCACCGCTTGGTAGATGTAAAACATCTCAATTTTTGTGAATTAAAGAGATTCAATCGTTACTTGGCAATATACATCCCTTAATGAGGTAAGAAGACCCCTTATCTTTGTAGGTTTGTGGGACCCACCTTGCAAGGTGACTGAGACACATTAGTATATCTACATATGACACCGTTCACCCATATATAAGAGTCATAGATTTTAAATTGGGGGGTTGCCACGTTAACCTCCTTAAACTTATCCAAATTTTCACCCATTTTTATTAATAACTTATTAATTTCTCACTAATCCAATAATTAACTAATTATTTACATAATTAAAAATTATCTCAACTTACTTTAAATACTACTCACTTGACACACTTTATGTACCCTACTATGATGGTCATGTAGTACCTTATATGGCAAAAGTTCATAAATACGGGGTATTATAGCTCGGGCCGTATTTTATCTCAAATTTCCAAACTTCGACGAAACTTATTTTCTTTGATTTTCTTACCCTCGCACCTTCACGAATTTACTCATTACTTGTTTGAAATAGCATAATACTTATAATCCCAAAATAATCTTATTCCCGAGCTTACGTCGATTA